TACGGCACCCAATTAGCTGGCGGGTAAACAACAACAACAACAGTCTCCACTTTGAGACGGCAACAGCTGTTAGAATTACAAGAGATGAAGGAATAACCAGCTAAATGGGAGAAAGACGAGGTTTAGTGGATCCAGGAGCGTCTCGGCAGGTCGTCCCATGTGTGTTAGTTTGTTTAGTCTCTCAGACTTTAATCCTCCCCAAAGGAAAAGCAGCTCATTAAGGGACCAAAGATTCTCACCGAGAGGACTTTCCCCGGCGAGAACAAGAGAAAGACAATGAACCGGTCTTCATTGAGGCAAAGGAAAGAGCGAGGAGGCTTTGAAAGAAGGGGAAAAGTGGGAGAATTAGGGTTGAGGAACAAACCCGCGGGATTCCTCGAGTAAAGTCAGCGTGTGCACAGATCATCTGGAAGAGGGAGGAGTTCTTGTATCATGTTAAAATGTACAGCTATTTAAAGATTGAAAACCGTCATTTATCACATCTCTATTCTAAATGACCAAAATGGTAAAGACCTCCCCTACAACAGGAGTGGTAAGGAGTGGTGACCCCTGAAACTATGGTCCTATACGCCTGAAACGATGGTCTTATACCCCTGAAACGATGGTCCTATACCTCTGAAACGATGGTCCTATACCTCTGAAACGATGGTCTTATACCCCTGAAACGATGGTCCTATACCCCTGAAACGATGGTCCTATACCTCTGAAACGATGGTCGTATACCCCTGAAACGATGGACCTATACCTCTGAAACGATGGGCCTATACCTCTGAAACGATGGTCCTATACCCCTGAAACGATGGGCCTATACCTCTGAAACAATGGTCCTATACCTCTGAAACGATGGGCCTATACCCCTGAAACGATGGACCTATACCCCTGAAACGATGGTCCTATACCCCTGAAACGATGGACCTATGCCTCTGAAACGACGGTTCTATACGCTTGAAACGATGGGCCTTGACTTCTGAAACGATGGTCCTATACCCCTGAAACGGTGAACATTGGTCCTATACCCCTGAAACGATGGGCCTATACCCCTCAAACGATGGTCCTATACCTCTGAAACGACGGTTCTATACGCTTGAAACGATGGGCCTTGACTTCTGAAACGATGGTCCTATACCCCTGAAACGGTGAACGATGGTCCTATACCCCTGAAACGATGGGCCTATACCCCTCAAACGATGGTCCTATACCCCTGAATCGATGGGCCTATACCCCTGAATCGATGGGCCTATACCCCTGAAACGATGGTCCTATACCCCTGAAACGATGGGCCTATACCCCTCAAACGATGGTCCTATACCCCTGAATCGATGGGCCTATACCCCTGAAACGATGGTCCTATACCCCTGAATCGATGGGCCTATACCCCTGAAACGATGGTCCTATACCCCTGAAACGATGCTCCTATACCTCTGAAACGATGCTCCTATACGCCTGAAACGATGGTCCTATACCCCTGAAACGATGGTCCTATAACCCTGAAACGATGCTCCTATACCTCTGAAACGATGCTCCTATACGCCTGAAACGATGGTCCTATACCTCTGAAACGATGGTCGTATACCCCTGAAACGATGGACCTATACCTCTGAAACGATGGTCCTATACCTCTGAAACAATGGGCCTATACCCCTGAAACGATGGTCCCATACCTCTGAAACGATGGGCCTATACGCCTGAAACGATGGGCCTTGACTTCTGAAACGATGGTCCTATACCCCTGAAACGATGGTCCTATACCTCTGAATCGATGGTTCTATACGCCTGAAACGATGGGCCTTGACTTCTGAAACGATGGTCCCATACCCCGCACAGATTCATCCGTGTTTACTGATATGTTACGCAAACAATTTGTGTTAGTCGGCGTGTTAACTACCTCATTGTGTGAATAGAAAATTGCCATAAAAACTTCAAAGTTCAAAGCGCTTTTGGGTGCAGAGCAGATTTGTATAAATGTAATATCAAACATGCAGCAGCAATCACAGCTGCATATTTATTACAACGCTTTGATATAACTGTAATGCGGTTTAACCGGCTTGAAAATGCAATATAATGTTCTACCAAATGAGTAACATTCCCTTGACATTATGTGGCATTTTTAAATGTAAATTGAATAAAAAGGGAAACAGTAAGTTTTTGCACCGCCTGAGGAAACGTTGCGTGTCACCTCGGATACGAAGACACAACTTTCACCGAGGCAGTGAGCGTCGTCTCGTGGAGACCGCGGCTCTTATTTAGTCGTCTTCGGCTTTCTGCATGACGACATCCACATGTGGAGGCTCTCTCACAGCTGCTGTTAAGAGGAAGCGTGTTAGTCAGATGAAGACGTTCCCGCGGTTATGAGGAATGCGGAGGGGTGGCGTCTTTTGTTCTGCCACATACGGCGGGTTTGTTTCTCTGGGAGGAGGAGGAAGAGGAGGAGGAGGAGGAGGAGGATTAATGTTCCTGTCAGAAGGAAGACGCTCTGCAAACAGACAGCTGCGTCTCCTCTGCCTTCGGCTCCTACGAGGATTTCAATATGAAAGCGATGCTGCAACGGCTCCTGTTTGTTAACAGGAACATGTCACCCCTCCCACCCCCCTGACCCGCCCCCCAAACCCCCCCTCCTCATAGAGTCAGATCAGGCTTCACAACTACAGGAATCTCTGATGACTGAGCGGCTCTCAGCCGTTGATTGATGGAAGAAGAGTCCCATAATCCAACACTTATCAGTGACTTCTTCTTCATGACTACTGATGGAGTCTTCTTCGCGGCCTGATCCCATCATCCCGTCATCAAATGAATATCGGCGTCTCCATCAGCCGCAGACGGGTCGCTCCTCTCAGAACTCCTCCAATGCGACGCCCCTCGTTGTTCATCGAGCTTTCCTGCAGCGCCATTTGAGTTCGTTTGCAGATTTATTGTGACTTTTTTTCGTGATATTCGTGTGGACCGGTTGAGCAGCTTGTAAAAATGTCCACCGCGGATCCTTGAAGGGAGGAAAGTCAAGTAGAATCCGAAGCACCTGAAGAGGAACCAACGAAGAAGATCAAGCGAGAGTCTTCCTCCTCGGACCAAAGATCAAGGGCGCTGGCGGTTAAAGAGTCGATCTCCTCTCAGCAGGGAATCTTCGCTTTACTTTTATTTATCATCAGCGTGAAACAATGGAAGACGTTCAGTCTTTAAACATTTAGGAAGGCCGAAAGAAATGATTGATGTAGTCATTATAAAGCTTAAATCTCGTATGCGTGACTGATCCCCAATATCTACACACGCACACGCACGCACACGCACACACACTTACTCTCTGTCGGAGAGTGGTGATGGTTATAAATGACCCAGATATGATTCACCATTAAACAGCATTTCACTAAAATTATCTTTCAGTAACAAGGATGTGCAAGCTTGTGTGTGTGTGTGTGTGTGTGTGTGCGTGTTGGGGAGCTGTCCTTGACTTTGTGGCAGACGAGATGGATGAGTTGTAATCACGCGGTGGAGAGATGACGGAGGGGGAACAAGGTCGTGCGTGTTTTCGGGCTGCGGATCGTCGGCCGTGTGCTCGTGCATTTTTCTCTTCTGTTTGTTTGTTTAAGTGTTACGGTTGTTAAAGGTGGTTTTGACTTTAACAACCAGACTCATAACCAATGAGATGATAAATGATATAATACGGTATGTAGCTCATTCTTAGCTTCATGTATTAATGATCATCAATGATCCCATATGAGGAGAAAAGCAACGCATCATTTCATAAAATCATCATTTCTTGTGTTTTGGCGGCTTCATCAACACGCCCTCGCTGTAAAAGAACTTTCACAGAGCCCAGTTGGACACGTTGTGGTCAGACTCCCTCTTAGAACACGGACCCGCTACACGTATGTACGGATTGAGCATATCGTCGCATCCTTAAACCTTGTAGAAAGCATAAAGATGCTCTTAATTGTTTTTAGGTTTTATTTATTATTGAACTGGTATCGAAGCAATGCAGAGATCGTTATGTGTACATGCATGAGTACATACATACATAACATGCACACTATTGCTACCATTCTTTCCTCTAACTAAATCTACCTTTACAATTAAAGTTAAGTTCATTTCTTTGTGAGTGGGGAAAAACCAAATCAGTAGCCAATCAATACTTATTTCCTCCCGTGTACCTGCACATACACGAGTACACTTTGAATAATAGCGTTTTAGATAAATTGGTATATTGCGATTGGTATAATTTTAAGGTAGTGTAATATTTTTGAAAATAAGCTTTGCTGACTGAACGTTAATGCCATTAATATTATTATATCCATCGTTTCACGTGTAAACATTCACCCCGTGTGGAAATCATGGCGACAGCTTTCATCTTTTTGGCTGAAGTGTCAAGAATAAAACCACAGATCCGCATCCGAACGTCACGACCCACATCTGGGACCACATCTGGGACCAAAGGAAGCGACGGAACCACGACGACCTCAGCGCGGAGCAGAAGTTAATCATCTCCGTTCTCAGGACGTTATCTGGAGCTGACATCTTAATTAGCGTGTTAGCGAGAAGCAGCATTCTGCCATCCGACTTCATCACATCACCCGAGACGTTAGAGCTGTTAATGAGGGTTCAACGTGAGCCGTGAGGAGACGCTCGCGGTCTCCAGATGGGGATCCGTGGGAGGTTGTTGTGTTTTAAGCCCGTTGTCGTATTATCGTTTCATTTAGAGATTACCTGAAGATAAATGGTTATAAAGCTTAAGGCCTCGCTGGGGAAAAAGCTTTTCTACTTATTATTTGTACCAAATGCAACCCTTAACGTTGAGTTAATGATAATAATGTTAAATAGAAATCTTTCTTTCTGAATCCCCAAAACTTAACAGCTCACATCGAAATAAGTAATTCAGAGGAAAGGATTAGAAATGCTGACAATTAACGAGTTTATCGTCTCTCTAGCGATAAAGATCTGTAAGCGAGAGACAACAAGCTTCCGCCGCGGCGTCTTTAACCACGGAGGGTTTGACCTCAGCAGCGTCTCACCGTCACGCCGTCGTCGCTCTGCGTCTCCCTGTAGGTGAAGTTGCACACGGCCCAGGCCAGGTAGTAGGTGGACATGCGCGGCGTGCGGGCGAAGCGGTTGGTCAGCCAGCCGTCCTCGTCCGGCGGCGAGGAGCTCTCCACGGGCATGTTGGCCAGCGAGGTGTACTGGGCGTCGTGGCGGAGGGCGAGCGAGAACGTGGCCTTGTAGACGGGCTCGTCGAAGCAGGGGAAGGCCTTGCGGGCGTGGGTGGGACTGAACTGGGTCACCGCCAGGTAACTGGGAGGGAAGCCAAAGAACGTCAAGGTGAAGAAAAAGGCAGCATGAAATTAAAGCAGTTGAAATCATAATTATACTTCACTCCGTCCAATCAAAGGTGAGCTCTTCTGTTTTAATCAATTAACTACAACTTTGTGTTTCTGCACTAAGCAGAACAGACGTGGATAATATGTCGCCGTGGTAACATACACACACACACACAAATGCACGAAATAATAAATGTATCAGCACGCGTGAAAAATGGGGGCTTTTATTGTGAAAAATATGTAGGAATATAATTGTGGTTATTTGAAGATTAGGCGCTTCATTAGTGTAGACTTACTTTAAAAAGGTAAGTCTATCAATACAGTAGGAATGAACTACAACCAGAAAAAAACAGGGGCTTTTATTGTGAAAGATTTATCGAAAATAAAAAAAACATAGAAAATGAGCTTTGTTGGTTCCCGTTTTTCAATAAAACAAGTCTTCTACAGAAAGGAAAAATACTAGGCTTTTACTTTGAAAAATACGGTGATTCAACCCAGCTCTGAAGCAGGAAGGAGCTTTGTTAGTGGCTGTAACGAACAAGTCTCCTAACACCGAAAGTTGGAAGAGTGAGCAGCAAAAGCAACAGGGACTTTTATTGTGAAACCCACTGAAGTCCTGCTCTTCTCTGGTTGAAGCTCCGAAACACCACCTTCTGGAATAAGTCCACGCGCAACACTCTGTTTCCCTCTTTGGGCCTTTGGAGGTTTCAAGAGGAGGAAATAGAAGCGTGGAATCGTCCGCAGGGTGAGCGGATTATCCTCCCGAGTCGCAGCCGACAGGTCGGCTGTCAACACGACTTTTCTACGTTTCTACTTCCTGTGGCTTTCTGTGTGGAGTGAAAAAGGAGCTTTGAGAGATAATCCAAAACAAACAGCAGAGCGGTTCCTCCTGATTTCTATAAGCCCGGCGGAATGTTTCACATCGCAGCTTTGTCTCCTCCGTCTGTCACGTGACTGAAACAGGAAGGAAATCAAAAATAATCCCTCTGGAAACTTTTCTCCAGGAGACGAGACGAAAGGAAGGAGACGGGAGGAGGCGAAGGGGAGAAAGAGGAGCGAGAAGGGGAGAAGAGAGGAGATTAAAAGGCGGAGATGAGGAGGAAGAGGAGAAGAATGTCAGAAGTCGCCCTGAAGCACAAAGTATGAACAACCCGGAGGAGGGATGATGGGGAGAACGATGAAGAGGAGAAGAAACAGAAGGGGGAGGAAGGAGGAAATGAACAAAGTGAAGGAGGAAAATGAAGATGAGGTGGAAAGAGAGAAGATGCTGAAGGATGGAGCAGCAGCAGGAGGAGGGGAGGTTAAACAGGACAAAGAGGAAGGTGAGGAGGAAGAAGAGGAAGGTGAGGAGGAAGATGGAGGGAAACAACAAACAGTGGTTAAGCGAGGCAGACAGAAGGAGAGAGAGAGACTAAAAGAGAAGCCTGAGAGGAACACGATAAAGAGAATCTATTACAAGAGGGAATGAGTCTGTAACACACACACACACACACACACACACACACACACACACACACACACACACACACACACGGCTGAATCAAACCAGATATTAACAACCACACAAACACAAGGCAACATCAGACCGGGTGACAAAAGCCGCTGCTAAGCTAAGCTAACGCTCATCAGATCAATCTGACAAGACAACCACGACATGTCAACAAACACACACACCCACGCACGCACGCACACAGGCAGGCCTCCAGACACACACACGCACACAGAGAAGAAGCGCACACGGAAACACACCTCATTTAGATTCAGAGATTTTACTGAGGCGGAAAGCGCCGAGTCAGGAGCTTTTCAGTGCGAAGTGAAGTTGTATATCAAACGCACAGCAACACACACACACACACACACACACACGCACACTACCAGACACACACACTTTGCTGCAGCTATAGTTTCACACCGAGCCGGCGAAGAGGCTGATTCATCCAGTTTGGTGTAAAATATGAAACGTGTCCGCCTTCAGCCTACCGGCTAAAGCTAAAGCTAATAGACCCACACACACCGGAACCTCTGCTTCCGTGCGCTTCCTCCTTTTGCAGCACATTATTTTTAAAGCTGGTGGGAACCGTCCTTCTGTGTTGGATCGGTGTGAAGTCACAGGAGGAGGTGGAATCGACCGCGTGAGGACGAGACGTTCTCTCTGGTCTTCGGGCTCCCAAACCACGTCTTGGATCAGTGGAGACCTTCTAGCCAGCACCTCCTCCTCCTCCTCTGAGATTGATTTTACAGAGTTGACACGTAGTATTGATCCCAGGCATCTCATCTGGTCTCTAAAGGAAGCCATTGCAACCAGGGAGTCGGGTGGGGGAGTCGAGGGGGGGAGGATAGGGGGGGAGGCCCTCGCCCTGCGTCTCCCTTGTTAACGCGTTTCCTCATTAGCCGCCTAGCTTCTCCTCGTTAACTGACTTCCCGTCCTCGTCTAATGGCGCCCCGCTTGGACTCTTCTTTAAGAAGCTTCAGGGCGTGAACGTGCGGCGTCGGCCCCCTTTCGGGGGTCATGCATGTGGATGCTAATAAACACGCTCTCGGCCAATCACATCGCTCCCCTGAAAGAGCCGAGCCAATCACAGAGAAGCGTGACGAGCGGAGCTGTACTGTATTGTGTAGAATGATCACTGTACGGTGTGTGTGTGTGTGTGTGTGTGTGTGTGTGTGTGTGTGTGTGTGTGTGTGTGTGTGTGTGTGTCTACAGGAGATGTAGAAGTTTCATCAACCTGCTGGAGATTCTGATTTGAAATATTACGCAATGAAAACGTGTTTAATTTTAAGTTACAGACCAACATGACAGACTGGTTTCACTGGAGAAGAGCTAGCTCATCATTAGCATAAAGATCAATACGGAGCGTCAACAGTCACACTTTACGCTGTGTGTGTGTGTGTGTGTGTGTGTGTGCGCGCGCTAATTAATTCCCCCCTCCCAGCATTTAAGCATTTAAACCCAGCCTGAGGTTTATAGTGACTCCTGATATTAAGCTAATCTCACACTAGTGTGTGTGTGTGTGTGTTAGCATTAGCCACACAGCTGAATCGAGCTAATCCTTGGGTTTTGTGCACACACACACACACACACACACACACACACACTTCCCAGTGTGGTTAACGAGGTCCGTGAACGTCTCTGAACAGACGCGTGAATCTGACACTCGACGTTTCCTCAGATTTAAATGCCGTTTTTCAAATAATCAGCTGTGATTTTTTACTACGCTTTTCTGACGCTGCTGCTTAGTCACCGCATGAAAGTATTTGTGGAGCGGCTGGCACCTGTGAGGGGTGTTAGTCACGCGTCCGCAATCTGACTGATGCGTCTTTCTGCCTCTCAGCAGCTGCTTTCTAACACAAAACACAATCCACGGCGCCGGCGGGGAAGTGGACCCGTGCTCGTCATGAAGCAGCCGAACCGACCCGAAGGAGACCGAGACGAGCTGGCGGCTCCTTTTGTCTTAATTAAAAACAAGCCGGGGTCAGATTCTGAAGTGTCTCTGGGCCCTGAAGACGTATCGGGTCGCTTCTCCAAAGCTGATCAGGCATCAGATACTCTCTTAATCTAAGATGAGCCATTTACATCTATGCATTTTATTTGTGACAGTTTGCTGTATTAAGTCCAGATGTTGGCCTAGACAGAAAATAATGATGTCATCGGTATGTTGTCACTTAAAGGGCAGGTATCGACTGAAATGAAGTATCTTCTCTTTTGGGGTTATAGCACTTATTTTTTATGAGCACAACCTCAACTCAATATTAAATCTGCACGAAGTGGAGTTTTCAACATCCCCAAAAAAAGGTGAGAGGAGAAAAATGTGCTTTCAACAGAGTCGCCCCCCACGTTTAAAACCAAGGCCGCAGCAAATATGTGGGTAATTTCAGATTTGCATACTAGATGATGCTTCTGTGACCCCCCAATTGAAGGAATCAAAAAAAGAGGAAGAAAAAGGCAGCATGAAATTAAAGCAGATCGAATCATAATTACACTTCACTCCGTCCAATCAAAGGTGAGCTCTTCAGTTTTAATCAATTAACCACAACTTGTGTTTCTGCACTAAGCAGAGCAGACGTGGATAACATGTCGCCGTGGTAACACACACACACACACACACACAAAAGTCATGCACGAAATAATAAATGTATCAGCACACAGTCTGTTTCCCATCAGTAACGCGGGAAAGAGGTCTGATGTGGAAACAGCTCCGCAGCAAAGCCTTATGGGAAATTCATGAGGAAGGGAGTGAGGGGTTTGATAAGTGGACCACCCACCCACACACACACACACACACACACACACACACACACACACACACACTCACACACACTCACGCACACACACACGGTCTGTGTTTGAGTTAATCAATGTGGAGGGATGTGAAGCTCTGACCTTTTGTAGCTAAACCACCTGCTGCACAGGCCCCTGCATGTGTGTGTGTTTTAGTGTGTCCTTGTGTGTGTTTGTGTGTGTGTGTGTGTGTGTGTGTGTCCTTGTGTGTGTGTGTGTGTGTGTGTGTGTGTGTGTGCGTACCGTCTCTCCCTCTGCTGGCTGTAGGCGCTGCGGAAGAAGCCCAGCAGCTCGTCCTCGATGGCGGCGGCGAAGCTGACGTTGAGCCGGTAGACCCTGGTGGGCTTCAGCTCGCGGTGCAGGACCACCACGTACATCTGGTTGGCCGGGTGGTGGAAGTGGCGGTTGACGCGTATGGCCCCGCCCCCGGGCCGGTTGGCGAGGCGACCGCCGCCGCCGCCGCCCTCCGCTGTGACGGACACCCGGTCCACCTGGGGGGGGAGGAGAGACGACGGGTGAGAACCAACCAGGTTACAGCACATTTGTGGGTCCGCCTCCACCTGCTTCACCTTGTCCTCTGACGGAGGCCAACCAGAGACAAGGAGACAACCAGCACTAAACTGAGTTCCCATCTATTGCTGAGTGAAAACCAAGTACTGGGAGAGCGTTTTGTGTATTCTGTGTAGTATTTGGCTCTGATCAGGTACATTGATCCGTCTGTGTGGCAGTAAATCGTCTCCTTCTTGCTTGTTTCCTGTTTGATGCTCCTCGCCAGAGGAACTACATTTTAAAATGGCCTCAAAACATTCTGTTCCAATCGATACGCCGCTTAAGGAACCTTCAGACTGGCGGAACGGGCCGCGGAGATGAGCAGCAGTGCATGATGGGAACACGCCCGGCCCACAGTGATAACTAGCAGGATGTGTGTCTGTTGTCGTTGCGCACCAGCGGCCCTCAGCCAATCAGACGCCCGAGCTCGTTCGCCCCTTTGACGGGCGAAGTGATGGATGCGTGGAAAAGGCTGAGGATTAAAACGCTGGTTCTTACGGGGTTTCCTACGCTCCCTCCGGACCGCCGTGCCGCTTTGAACTCCTGTTTGACTTTATCCGTGCGGTCGGTGAGGAGGGAGACGGCGAGGTCACCACAGGTTCATCTTCCTGAGCGATGGTGGCCACGGGTTCCCGCCGTCCACGGCGAAGGGACGCGAGCCCGAGGACGCGTTTGTCTCAGCAGTCAGTTTGATTGGTTTGGTGTTAGCAGTTGTTTTAAGGCTTTAGTAACTGGTTTTATTACCCTAATTACACCTTTTCTCTAATGTCTACACAAAGACAAAAGTACACAGAAGACGTCCTCGAACACAACTGGTGCTCGGGACGTTTCATGGACAGAACACAGCCGTCCTCGCTTCCTTGCCCATCGTCCTGCATCGACGCTTCCTCCTCCACATGCAGAGGAGTGACGGTGCACGGAGAGCCGCCCGCCGCCCAACAACGCCTCTTAATTCGCGCGCCAGCACGGCAAGAGCTGCGGGGTTTTTAATTGGCCTCCGCCCAAATTAGACGGATGCGTCTTCCTCTCACATTAGACCAGATGAGCGGCGCCGCTCGGCCCGTTCCCTCGGGCCGCCGCCGGACCCTCGCCAGACCGGCTGAAACCGCAACTCTCGACGGTGAATCAGCCTCTGGGGGTTAACGTGGGAACAAACAGTCTTTGTTGGGGAAGAGCGGATGCAAACGAGGAGCTTCGCTGGGAGACGCGACCGGTAAAGAAGTCAAAAGCGTCCACGTCCGTCTTCGTCCTCGCTGTGTTTGGGAAGCGAGCAGAAAAAAGCCTGTGAGGCTTTTCTTGTGTTTAAGTTGAATCTGCTTTTCATTCGGACTCGTACGTCTGCATCTCCAACACACCGAGGTCTAAAAATAACTTCCTTCTGAGGCAAATCAAACCATTTGGATGTTTCTGATGCTTCCACCCTGAACACAACACGGTTGTGTTTGTTGTGTATTCGGGGATTCATCACAAAGAAAACACACATTTACTCCACACAGCTTTGTCACAACCACAGAAATTCACCGACATTCCTACAGACCACTTTGCTTTTGGTACAGAACATTTTGACGTGTGTGTGTGCGTGTGTGTGTGTGTGTGTGTGTGTGTGTGTGTGTGACCCGACGGGGCCACCGTACCTCCAGGCGGTCGGCGTGCAGCACGACGAAGCGCGTGGCGTTGACGCACTCCAGCTCCACGCTGACCCACCCGGCGAAGGTGAAGTTGTCCATGTGGACGGCGAGCCGCAGGTCGTAGTGCCGCGGCCTCAGGGAGCCCGGCAGCCGGGAGCTCCTCCACGGCTCCTCCTCCCCCGCCCTCTCCCCCCTGCTCCCGTTCAACCGCGACGACCCCCGCGAGCCCGGGTCCCCCGCCGCCGCCGCCGCCCCGTCGCGCCCGCCGCCGCAGTCCTCAGAGCGGACGCTGAGCGCCACGGCCACCGCCGTGACCACGATGAGGGTGAGGATGGCGAGGGCGAAGCCCAGCGCCAGGCGCTTGTGCACCGTGATGTGGCGCTCGGTGGTTCGAGGCCGGACCACCGCGGACTCCCCCCACTGCTCCGAGAGCCTGCGGCCGTTGCGCATGGCGCCCGGGCTGCTGTCGTTGTGCCCCATTTGGCCGAAAAAAGCGGGTCAGACACGGGTCCGAGGTCGGGGAAACATGCGCGGGTCCGATCCCGGTTTGGTTTCGGGGCGGTTCCACCGGTCGTCGACCCGAGGGTCCACTCCTCGGTGACCTTTGACCCCTGCTGAACCACCACTGAGGCGGGAAATCCGCAGGCGGCACGAGTTACATTTCAGACGAGGAAGACGAGCTTTGGTTTCTGCGCTGAGAGGCGGAAAGCAAATTTTAAAAAACTGAAATCAATGCTGCACGTGTGGATTTCAGTGGTGGTGCTGGAGGTGGAAGAGGTGGAGGAGGTGGAGGAGGTGGAGGTTGGCTGATGAGGATGAGGCTGCACACGGAGACTCGTCCTAAAAGCAGCAGGTCCCGTCTCTTGACCCTGACCCTGTTATCCCGCCTCAGCACCACTTGCTCCTACATTCTCATTCACAGTAACATTTTGAGGCAGTGGACTCAGAAACTTTAGTTTCTCTAAAAAAGGATTTTTGCTGCTAAAACATCGACATTTATGATCAAATAATGAAGATTTTTATTCTTAAAAGTGGATTTTTCCGGTGAATTTTGAAGAGTTTAAACTCAAGGAGATTAATCTCCATTAATCAAGATGTTCCTCTCTCTCTCTCCGGGGGGTCAAGCGGATCAGCACCGGACAGCTCCGGGGGGCTTCACCGCGGAGGAGATAATTCACTCCGCTTCTTCAAATGGCTCAACGCGCTTTTTATGCGTTAAAGAATAATAATTAACGACTCAATGAATCCGTGTCGCTCGATGTCATCAGTGATCCGGTCGTTAACGGTCCTCCGGTAACTTCCTCTTCTCTCGCTCCCGGTGGGACCGGTTCTACCGGCGGCCGGTCGGGTGGGTCCGTTATTCCTCCTTCATTCCCATCCGCTGGTTCCCGGTGAAGTCCGCACCTGCGATCCACCTGCGCACCTCTCCCGGTCCGGGGATCCGGTGCACCGGCGTTGATCCGTTATGAGAGAATCCGTTATGGAGTTTGTTATGGAAATCCGTTTAAAACCTTTTCCCCCTCTTTTTTTTTTAAACGCCGGAGGTCAGTTTCGGTACCGGGGACCGGGTCGGAAGCAGATCCCGTCAAAGCACCGCGAGTGATCCGGTAGATTCGCGGCAGAATAAATCCAGCGGCTCCGCGGTGTGAGGCGGATGCTCCCGCGCCCCCGCGGTGCTCCGGTAACCGGAGATCTCCGCAACTTTTGAGCCCACGGAGAGCTGCTGATGAGGACGCTGGCGAGGAGGATGAGGATGAGGAGGACGGTGAAGGTGAGGAAGAGTCTCCGGCCGCCCGTCACGCAGCGAGTCCGCGCTCCGTGTGCGCGTCTCAGTGCGCGGGTACGAGCGGCTGCCAGAGGGGGGGGGGGGGTTTATAGTTCATATGCTGTATGCTGAATGTTTTCAACGCGCATTAAAGGGTTAAGACATAAGAGACCTGTCAATCACACTAAATGAACTACACACGATGCACGTCGTGTAATAACTAAAGAATCACCTCTTTATGGTCGCAGCTCCTCCAAAATATATACTGAACATCTCTTTGTTTAAGCTGCGTTCTGTGTAGTGACCAGCGGGGGGCGACTCCTCTGCTCCCATAGACGTCTATGAGGAAATGACTCTACTTCTCTGTAGTGACCAGCAGGGGGCGACTCCTCTGCTCCCATAGACGTCTATGAGGAAATGACTCTACTTCTCTGTAGTGACCAGCAGGGGGCGACTCCTCTGCTCCCATAGACGTCTATGAGGAAATGACTCTACTTCTCTGTAGTGACCAGCAGGGGGCGACTCCTCTGCTCCCATAGACGTCTATGAGGAAATGACTCTACTTCTCTGTAGTGACCAGCAGGGGGCGACTCCTCTGCTCCCATAGACGTCTATGAGGAAATGACTCTACTTCTCTGTAGTGACCAGCAGGGGGCGACTCCTCTGCTCCCATAGACGTCTATGAGGAAATGACTCTACTTCTCTGTAGTGACCAGCAGGGGGCGACTCCTCTGCTCCCATAGACGTCTATGAGGAAATGACTCTACTTCTCTGTAGTGACCAGCAGGGGGCGACTCCTCTGCTCCCATAGACGTCTATGAGGAAATGACTCTACTTCTCTGTAGTGACCAGCAGGGGGCGACTCCTCTGCTCCCATAGACGTCTATGAGGAAATGACTCTACTTCTCTGTAGTGACTTCTTCTTCTCTACTGATTTTCAGTAAACATTGTAAGTTTATGGTCTCAGTCTCTAGTTTTTAGTCCTCTTCAAACGCAAGTTTGAAGAAACGCAAAGTCTGTGCTGTTTGCATTTTCTCATTACAAATTATATATTTCACTTGTATATCACTTATGGTGTTCAATACATCCAAATACAGTAGTTTGGGGCTTAAAAAAAAAAAAAAATATATATATATATATATATATATATATATATATATATATATATATATATTTTAAGCCCCAAACTACTGTATTTGGATCTATAGATATATAGATATCTATAGATATATAGGTATAGATATATATATAGATATATATATATCTCTCTATCAATATATCTATATATTATATATATATATATAAACCCCCTAACTCAACAGAGTTGGATTTGAGAGGTTAAGGGCGGGACTACATGCTAATTGACAGGTCTCTAACAAACCATAAAGCAGGGGATGCTTTAGGGCGGGGCCTAACGGTGATTGACAGGTCTCTAACACCATAAAGCTGGGGGTGCTTTAGGGCGGGACGTAACGGTGATTGACAGGTCTCTAACAGACCATAAGGCCCCGATGTCCACGCGGTCACGTGACGCGTAGCTGAGCTCCCGTCACACGTTATCAGACCTGTGAAAAACTGTGTGTGTCCAATAAAGTGCTCCGACATCACAGCACCAATTAGAGTCCTATTCCAGCCAACTGGATCAAGGTGGAAGATGGGGGGGGGGAGGGGGGGGGCGCTAAGTGGGCGGCACACTGTTCTGCCTCAGGGAAAATTGGTGTCGAGTGCGGAGAACACACACACAGAATATAATGAATGTGTGTCACTGGTTAGCAAAGTGTGTGTGTGTGTGTGTGTGTGTGTGTGTGTGTGTGTGTGGTCTCTGCACTTGACACCAGTCTGGCAGCAGCAGAGAGTCTAAGAAGAAGACGTGAGCGGAGGGAGAACAGACTCAAAGCTGATCCCAACATCAATGTTCCACGTTTCCTTCAGAAGCTCAAATCCGTCCGTGCTTGAAGGCGGAGCGGCGTGGAGGAGGCGGAGCGGCCTCCGCCTGGTCCAAGCACGCCGCCCACAGAGAGAGAGCTACACAACCCTCCATCAGCTGACATCTTTGATAAATTTCATATTTATGTGTACTGAATACACCTTCAGTACGCTCCTCCAGCTCCATCTCAAGTGTCCAACGCTGACCGAGAAGTGGACGTAGTCCTCATGTCTCCTGTCAGTGTGCAGACGGAAGCCTCGAGCTGAGAGACACTCGCAGCCTTTTGAAGCCATTTATTTTCTTAACGTGACAATTGTGTTTGTTATCATCTCAACGTGCTGAGGTTGTCAAACTGGTTTACAACAGTTAGAGTGTGTGTGTGTGTCTCTCTGTGTGACGCTGATTCAAAGTGAGAGCTTCTTGATTGCATCAACCCTCCATGGAATTATTAACACACACACGCACACACACACACACACACACACACACACACACACACACACACACACACGTGAGTAATTGAACGACTTCACGATACGTAACACGATGCAGTCGAGCACTTTAACACTTTTCTCTACAAATATGAATTTGTGCAGATGAGGCCGAGCGAAAGATGAATGAGCTCGTTTGTGTTTGAAGGTTGTTTCACCCTGAAAAGTTTTTAAAAAGCTGCCGGCTCTTTGAAGAGGAAGCCCGGGGGGGGAAACAAGTCAACAACAGTTTCAGGTTAAAATACGAGGTAAAACATCCTTAATCATAAATGATTCTGACTTTAAACTCATCTGGACAGAACGCTACATGTTGCTTTATGCGAGGGAGGAAAGAACCTTGAAGGAACAATCACTGGTCCTCTCTTCTGTGAACAACGAGCGCACGATCCCACTTTCAGTGCCAGTGGTTTCAGGAGCTGCTAGGCCAAGCTAAGCTAAGCTAAGCTAGCTGCATGTCCTGAACCTGTCTCTGTCCAATGAGGGAAGGAATACACAGAAACACTCACACCAATGGAGCCTGTTGGCATGGATCAGGATCGGGATCAGGATCAGAGTCAGGATCAGGATCAGGATCAAGATCAGGGTCAGTGTCAAGATCAGGATCAGGATCAGGATCAGGGTCAGGATCAGGATCAGGATCAGGATCAGAGTCAGGATCAGGATCAGTGTCAGGATCAGGATCAAGATCAGGATCAGAGTCAGGATCAGGATCAGTGTCAGGATCAGAATCAAGATCAGGGTCAGGATAAGGATCAGGATAAGGGTCAGGATCAGGATAAGGCTCAGGGTCAAGATAAGGATCAGGATAAGGGTCAGGATCAGGATCAGGATAAGGATAAGGATCAGGATCAGGGTCAGGATCAGGATCAGGATCAGTGTCAGGATCAGGATCAAGATCAGGGTCAGGATATGGATCAGGATAAGGATCAGGATAAGGGTCAGGATCAGGATATGGATCAGGATCAGGGTCAGGATCAGGATCAGGATCAAGATAACGATCAGGATCAGGGTCAGGATCAGTGTCAGGATAAGGATCAGGGTGAGGATCAAGGTCAGGATCAGGGTCAGGGTGAGGATCAAGGTCAGGATCAGGGTCAGGGTTACACATGAGGATGTTATAAGCTGAAGACGAGCAGCATGTCCTCACACAAACAACCGTCTCACTGCTTCTAGAAGACTGGATGGAAATAATACGATAACCAAGATGATCTCAGTGAAAACAACCACTGCTTTGTGTGGAGACGAGTCCCTCAGGGGGGGGGGGTCAGGGTGAATTTAGAGGGCGGAGTCCTTCGTCAGGTGGTCCTTCTGTGTTTAAAGGGGCCGAGGCTGCTGGGAAGAAACCGAGGGGGACAAACAGTTCATTATTCTAATTTCCTCATAATGACTTCATGGTTGATGCATCACCATCTGGAACACACACACACACACACACACACACACACACACTGTGATAATGCAGCCATTGAGTCTAATGACAACGCACCGCTTGTCGTAATGAGACTCTTTCTGCCGCGAAGCATCATGGGTAAACAGCTTGCACCTTTTGGAGGGAGGAGTCGACCGGACGTCGGGTTGCCAGATAGTAAATGGAGAGGGCGCCGCGTTGCCAGGTCCTCGGTGACACCCGACCTGTTCAGTGTTGAGTTTGAATCAGCACGGTGAATCAGGCCGAGTGTGTTGGTGCGTGTGTGTGTGTAAGTGTGTGTATGTGTGTGTGTGTAAGTGTGCGCCGTGCTCAGACAGAGGCACTCGAGCTAAATTGCCCCCCCGGTGCCCACAATGCCTCTGGAGCTGGCAGTAGTGTCTGAGTGCGTCTGTCTGTGTGTTTAGACCTCACGATGCCGCGCTGCAACAAACAGCTGCTTCGCTGTGACCCCTTCTGTCGTCTCCACGGCAACCGGCGGGGGGGACGGCGACCGTTGCAAAAAGATAGGCAACTTTGGACGCGGCGGATCCACAGGGGGACGACAGCTTTGCGTTATTCATAAAACCTTTACTGGGATGACGACTTGCCGAGCAGAGGAGTGATTACCTGAACCTCCGGTTCTGTAGAGAGAGCCTTGCATTCTATGTAGTGACCAGCAGGGGGCGCCACCTCGGGTCAGAAGTTTATGAGAAAATGACTCTTATATTATTATGTCCTCAGTGAAGATTGTAAACATGAGTTTATGGTCTCAGTCCTACATACATCCAGCATGATGTTCATTTGGTGAGTTATGGTCCATTTAGAGTCAAACACACCATAAAGCAGGGGACGCTTTAGGGCGGGGCTACCTGCTGATTGACAGGTCAACACCAGAGACGGATACGTCGATCCCAATCTGTCCTAATATGGTCACTTCCTGTTCACTGGCGGGAAAGTCATCTTCATGTATTATATATATATATATATATATATATATATATATAAATATGTATACATAGATTTAGAACGGCGGCCTTCTTTTCCTTTCCTCTGAGCTGATCTCACGTCGCCCATCAGATGCATCGACAACAACGCCGTCCTCTGGTGCTGCAGCAACACTACGGCCACCATCAGATACCATAACATCTGTATCCAGAGGTGGTCTGACAGACAGCAGCTGTGTGAAGACAGTGAGGTGAAAAGGGATTCATTCAGCTATAAAACTGACTCCCCCCTTTCCTTCGGGCTTAGTGCACACACACACACACACACGCACACACACACACGCGCACACCCACACACACACGCACACACACGCACGCACACGCACGAAGCCAGTGCGGAGTGCAAAGTGTTCCTTCAGGTTACACCACTCTGCAGAGATGATGGATGCAGGATATAAAATCTATCTCTGCAGGCCATTAAGAGATGAAATGAACATGACAGGATGGATATATAGATATATGATATATAGATATATGATATATAGATATATGGATATATGATATACAGATATATGATATATAGATATATGGATATATAGATATATGATATATAGCTATATGGATAGATGATATATAGATATATGATTATAGATATATGGATAGATGATATATAGATATATGATATATAGATATATGGATATATAGATATATGATATACAGATATATGATATATAGATATATGGATATATAGATATATGATATATGGATAGATGATATATAGATATATGATATATAGCTATATGGATAGATGATATATAGATATATGATTATAGATATATGGATAGATGATATATAGATATATAATATATAGATATATGGATGGATGCGACATAGATGGGGTGCATAAATGCATGTAGGAGTACACAGATCTGTCCTCAGGGGGAAAAGAAAAACATATTGATATATTATTATTATTGCATAAGTGAAAGAGAAACTAAAGGCATCAATATAAAAACTGAAGTCAATTAATAGCAAATAGCCGACCAATCAGAGCACTAGATGGTTCATGTGCACCTGGAATGTTACGGCGATGGTTAATGCAGCAGATGAAGGACCTGGACCGGGTCCCTTCTGCAGAGAGAGAGTGTGTGTTTGTGTGTACGTACGAGTGTGTGTGTGTGTGTGTGTGTGTGTGTGTGTGTGTGTGTGTGCGTTTCCAAGAGACTGAGTCAGAGAGACAGATCAGTATTGGATTTTGAGTCATTTATATTCAACAAGGGTTCACTGAAACTCACACTGCTACAGTATGATACACACACACACACACACACACACACACACACACACACACACACACACACACACACACACACACACACACACACACACACAACTATGGATCCCATAGGAGTTATTGTTTGTTGGCACGTTTCCCGTGCCGCTGTAGCTTTTGGCCAATGAAACCCCCCCGACTCAATTCTGAAATTTTTTAATTCATAGGGAGATATGGTTTTTTGTTTTACTTTTCGAGGAGGAAAAAAAGACCTCTGGCGCAGATGCAGAGAGCGCGGCGGAGAGATGATTGGGTTGCACAGGAAACAGGATCAGCGGCCTGCGTTTGGAACATGATGGCGTTTATCACATCGCCGCTCTCAAGGCCTCCAGACGTCCGCCGCAACAACATCTTTTATTTTGGTAGGACGGGAGGAAAGCACTAAAAGAGCGATAGAATACATTACATTACATTGTATTAAACCATGTTGTGCACAGGGAGCAACTGGGGGTTGAGTGTCTTTGACTCAGGGACACACGGGACACGGGACACGGGACACGGAGCAGCCAGCGTCGCCCCACTTTAGAAGCATGAATACAGACTTACTGCATCTTCATCTGGTTATTTCTGCAACCGTTTCACCAGTTTACTGCACATGAATCATCCGTTTATTGTTAACGTGCAGTTATTGCTTTTACCGTTTAGCTTATTTTTAAAGATAAATAATAGTTGTTGCCGCCGATCTTCATCTTGTCGCTTTGTTTGTTTGTCTTCTTCAGATTTACAGCGTGACCTTATTTATCGTGGGAAGAAAATCAGTCGTGTTATTGATGATGCTGGAGCTCCCCTGTGTGTGTGTGTGTGTGTGTGTGTGTGTGTGTGTGTGTGTGTGTGTGTGTGTGCAGCTCGGTTCAGTCAGCTAAATGCTGATCAAACGTCCATCACGAAGCAAACACGCGTGCGTCAATCCTCCTTTCATCCCTTCTTCCTTAACTCCTTGACTCCTCCCTCCATCTCTCCTCAGGCCTTAGTTCCTCTCCTCTCTCCTTCCTTTGGTCACTCTTTCTTTCCTTAGTTCCTTACTAGGCTTCTTTCTTCTTCACCGTTCTTCTTCTTTCCTGTTTTCTCTTCCTCATTTTCTGACACCTTCCTCCTCCCCCTTTTCTCCCCACTTCCCCTCCTTCCGTCTCTCTCTCCCTCCTCCTTCATCGTTTCCCCTCTTGCTTCCTGACCTCATTTCCTGCTCCTTTCATCTCTCCTTTACATCTTTCTTTATGACTTTTATCTTCTGATTCTTCATTCCTTCTTACATCTCTCCTCCTCCTTCTTCCCTTCCTTCTCCTTCTTTCCTTCCCCTCCTTCTTTCCTTCCCCTCCTTCTTCCCTTCCTTCTCCTTCTTTCCTTCCTCTCCTTCTTTCCTTCCTCTCCTTCATTCCTTCCCCTCCTTCTTCCCATCCCCTCCTTCATTCCTTTCTCTCCTTCTTTCCTTCCACTCCTTCTTTCCTTCCCCTCCTTCTTTCCTTCCCCTCCTTCTATCCTTCATCCCTTCCTTCTCCTTCTTTCCTTCCCCTCCTTCTTTCCTTCCCCTCCTTCTTCCCTTCCTTCTCCTTCTTTCCTTCCCCTCCTTCTTTAATAATCCTCTCCTCCTTTCTCTCTCTGCATTTGGACGTTGCTTCATTACACCCCCCCCCCCCCCCCCCTGAAGACTGACCCCCCCCCCCACTTCCTTCACTGTCTCCTCCCTGATTTGATCACTAATTGTGCCGAAAGAAACAGAAGTTGATTAATTCATGTTTTCTCTCCTCCGCTCTGATAAATGAGTCGGTACGAGGAAAAGACAAACTTGGAAAGAGAAAGGAGGGGGGGGGAGTGAGAGAAGGGGAGGGGGAGTGAGGAAGAGGGGGGTGGGGGGGTCTTCGTACCGCGATCAGTAAATGGGATCATTGCCTCGTTTAGCCTGCTGGCTAATTGGAATTCACTGTGTGTGTCCATTTGTTGGTATTCGCCGCCTGTGTGTGTGTGAGTGTGTGTGTGTGTGTGTGTGTGTGTGTGTGTGTGTGAGCGTGTGTGTGTGTGTGAGTGTGTGTGTGTGTGTGTGTGTGTGTGTGTGAGCGTGTGTGTGTGTGTGAGTGTGTGTGTGTGTGTGTGAGTGTGTGTGTGTGTGTGTGTGTGAGTGTGTGAGTGTGAGTGTGTGTGTGAATGTGTGAGTGTGTGTGTGTGTGAGTGTGTGTGTAGTCCTTGATCAGACTGACAAAGACTTATTATGGTGTCGCTTCACGTGACCCCTGTTGACCCCGCTGGCGGAATAGAAAGTGTGTTTTTGTGTTTGCAGTCTGTTTGTGTGTATTTTAATCTGTATATGTGTGTGTGTGTGTGTGTGTTTGTCCTGCTAATGACTTGTCAGCTTCACCACAAGTGCTAAAGGTGACGCTTCCTCCCACACACACACACACACACAAAACACACACACACACACACACACACACTGAGCACATGAACACAAAATGACACTTTGAGTTTTGCAACCAATGCAAAAGAGATGAATTTAAAATGATTAAAAAAAGATTAAATCTGTCAGATGCTCAGATTCAGCCGAGTAGAAAGTGTCACTAACTTGAAATACTGAAGTACGAGTACCTCAAAATGGTCCTTTATTGTGAAACGCCCACTCAAATGCAAGCAAAGTGATGTGTTGCTTGATTTGGGAAATATCTCGTTTGCCTTTATTGAAGTGCAGTCTGTGTTTTGTTGGAGTTTTGCAGAAGGAGTGTTGTGGTTTTAGAAAGAATATGACTGGATAAAACATCTGTCTGATGCAGAAAAAGTCGCCTAAAGAGGATGCATAATATATGTATATATATATGTATATATTCAAAGTACAGCCGAGACATCAACTGGTTTTCACTTTGACTATTATGCCCTCTCGTCTCTTCTACCTGGCAGACACACACCAGCACCATGTGGTCCTGATGCACAGAGTCTGTTATAAAGGGGAAAAGGCCTTAAATGTTAAAACACACATACTTCAAATTTAAATCCACAAGGAAATCCACTGGAAAGACACAGAATGACACGTCCCACATTCAGGTATAAATAATGTGATGTAATAATAAACACCATCACATCCTGAAGCACTCCAGCCCCCCCGCAACCCTGTGTGCAGGATAAGCGGTTTGACAATGGATGGATGGATGGATGGACATCCTGAAGCATCCAGCTCACAGCTCAGGTGAGTTACCTTCAGAAAACCTAAAATCCTTAAATCAGACAACGCTGACCACTCAGCTGATGCACCAACATGTCTCTCTCTGTCTCTGTCTCTCTGTCTCTGTCTCTCTGTTTGTCTCTCTGTGCTTTCAAGTCAGGAAGCCCGGCGCTGCGTGACGACCTCTGACCTTTGGAGGGCCGACCCCTCTGCGACTGCCTCCTCCTGTGACTTCCACTCGCCTCCTTAAATAAAGCTTCATCCAGAACAACTCCACCCGAAGTCCTTCATCAAACACAAAGGAGCGAGGCGATCGATATCAAACCCCCGACAGCAACACACGTCTGTGTGTGTGTGTGTGTGTGTGTGTGTGTGTGTGTGTGTGCGTGTGTGTGTGTGCGTGTGTGTGTTAACACCGACGACAGCTTTTTATCGGCTCAGTCAAGGTCGCTGGTCTCCATTCAGTTTTTACATTAATTCAGCTCTGCACATTTACAACATTTAGGAGGTTTAAATGTATATAAGTACATATGTAAGTATGTATTTGTACAGCGTTTAATCACTTGATTAGTTTAAAATCTAGAAATTCATGGGAAAAAATGACAAAACATAGTAGGTAAAAAAATGTATATTTTTAAAATGCAAAACATAGAAAAAAGTAGACAAATATTATGAAAAAAATGTTTTTAAAAAACATTCAAAATACGTTGTGTCTAAAAAATGTCATGGAAAAAGAATATCATAAAGATTAGGTCCTCGTATTCGTAAGTATTTGGCAAACAAAAGTCAAAATATGTAAGGTGGAAAAGAAAGTTTACTGTCGAAAAATACAGGAATAAATTTATATCTCTGCTGAAAACGGCAAAGTAGCATTTATGATTAATGTGATTCGGGTGCGTTTTCTTTGGGAAGGTTTGACTCATTTTCAAAGAGACACGTTGTGATTTTAGACTCTCGTGTTTCGAACGGTTCGTGGCTGCATTATATTTGTTCGTGATAAGTACAGAATTGTTGGGTTGGAACTCGGTTCCGGCTCTGTTCTTAAACCTCGGGCGCAAAGTGTTTAAAATAAATAAAAAACTGTATTTATTATTTACTTTTATTCATCACGACAAGAGAGAGCAAGAAAAGCCCTCGTAAAATAACAAAATAAAAGCCTCGATCCAAAACGTTGAAAAACGTATGAGATATTGGTGGAAAACCAATAAAACACAAGTGAAATGTCCACTTGAGGAACGGGGGAAGCAATGAGGACATTTAATTGTCTGTTGGGATGGAAACCCACTGGTGAACAAACTCAAAGCCAGAAACAAGCAGAGGACATAATGAGAAGTGGACCCTTCAGGTCCAGATCTTTCCTCAGCAGGTAAACTGTCCACATCAAGACGCTCCAGAAGGTTCTGACATTTTCCACCCGGGTTGAGGTGATTTTTTTTCCGTTGGTTGTCCCGTTGACTGAAGGTTCAGGAGACCCTGGACGCGGGTCCAGGCGGTCTGAAGAAGGTCAGGTGGCGCCTCCTCCTCGGCCATCGATCGGACCGGAGATTCTAAAAGGTCGGCTCAGCTGTTATCGACTGGAAGTGTGCGTCTGAAAAATCAAAGGGCCAAATATCGTGTTTTGTGTCTTTGTCTTTGTCTGAGACGGCTGTTTGTGTAGCGCTCATCTTGTTGTTGTCCTTTGTTGAGTTCCTTGTGATTTCACTCGCAGCAAGTCGGAGCTTTCCTTCAGTGAGTCGAGCCATGCGGGCATCAATAGATACAAAAATACCAAATGTCTTATTGTGAAAGGTGAAAGAGGAAGTAGATCTGTATTAGCCGTCCCAGGAATCGGCATTTATTGACTACATTTCACAAAGTGCGGTGAGTTATTCCACCACATCACCACAGTTCTGTCCAGTTTAAGGTGTTTAAACTGAATCTAACTAATCAGAGTCAGATCAGCAGTTAGTTGAAGGTCAAGTTGTTTTCAGAGCCTTCATCTCACCAGCGGTAACCAGCGACTGATGGGAGATAATCTCACTTCATCATCTCAGGAGCCGCAAGGTAAACGTGTAAATCAGCTGTCTGCTTTTGTTCTGTTGCCACAAAATACGATTATTTACTCATTATTTCCAAAAATGGGGGAAGTGCGGATTGAGATGAACATCCCGATGGAAGAAGAAGGAGAAGTTCTCCACCGGCGTCGTCGCCCCGACTTCCCGTCTCCTTATTCATCGCCATGGAAACGGACACACCCTTCATTTATGGGATGTTCCACTCCAAATGGACCCAGCAGCATCTCCACACCAGGACGTCCTGCTGTGGTGG